AACCTATAAAAGTATATAGATTTGGTCGCACCAGACAGCCTGTCAAGTCCAATCAGATTGGATAAAAGTTTAGTTTTTAAACCCGTACGCGTGTTGACGGGAAACCCCGAGTTGATCGGGGGTGGGGTTGGGTTCGGGTTTTCACTGTTTTAAAAAGTTGGGGGCGGGGCGGGGATGGGTATGCAATCCCACCCCGATCCCGTCCCGTCCATGCCTGACTTTATATTTAAATTTAAATTTTAAAATATTAATATTTTAAAAGTATTTCATTTTCTTTTCCTATTACATATAATGTTATTTTTTTATATTTCACCAATTTTTATTTTTCTTCTACCCACTTTTTAATTTTTTTTATCTTTCTCAATCTTTTATATCAATTAATTTATTATATTATTCTCTCCCTTATCTTTCAGTTTTTCACATTTTCTTAGTCTCTCCCATCAATTTTTTTTTTTTTTTCAATCTTTTCAACCAATTTGATGAACACAAAGTTAATCTTTTTTCTTTATCTTTTTCTAAATATTTTACATCAATCTTAGTAGTAACTAATATTAGTTTATTTATAATTTATATTTATTATGCCATATTTTTTTATCTTATTATGCTTATTTATCATATATCAAATTTTATCTTAATAAAATAATTGCATTTTAAAGGATTAAAAGAAATTAATAATTTAAACTTTAATTACTTCAAACTAATTAAATAAGAATTAACTTATTAAATATTTTCTTATAAACTATATATTGACAACTTAAAAATGAATTAACTTATATGTATAATTAAATATTTGAATACAGTATTATAATAATAATGTTATAAATATTCAAATATTTGAATACAGTGTTATAATAATAATAATAATAATAATGTTATAAATATTATATATATATAAATAAAAAATAATTAAATATTTCTTTTACATATATATTTTAATATAAATATAATAAATTAAAATGTATATTTAATTAATAATAACTATAAATTATAAATATTTATTTATATATAAAAATACATAGTAAAATTAATTTATTATAAATATAATTATCTTTTTAAAAATAATATAAATTGGGGACGGGGCGGGGACGGGAACCGAAACCCAGCGGAGCGGGGATGGGGACTTAATTCCTAACCGCGGGGATCGGGGACGGGGACGGGGATGGTTAAAAAAGTCGGGGCCCGCCCGTTGCCATGCCTAGTTTTTATTATATTTAAAAATAATTATTTTTTTAATTCGTTTTATATTAAAATTTTCTTACTGTCTCAGATTTTAACTATTTATAGATTAAAATCATTGTTAACTTTTATTTACTCTTTTCTCCCAAGTTAAGTTACTTTTTATAATACACTAATATCCATCAATTAAATGATAATTTAGTGTTTTAAATTATACTCCACCCCTGAGTAAGTAGCTGAAATTTACCAATAATGCTTAGTTTCAATATTTAAGAGTAAATTTGTTTCATGGAATAAAAGCTTTTATTACCAGGAATGCTTCCCTTTATTACTTAAAAACTTCATCTGAATTAAATATATGAATAAAATGCAGTTTGATTTTTATTAGGTTTTAATTTATTATAAAATTTGAATCAAACTAAATTAATTTTTTATCTTCTATTCCTTTTTAGTCGCACATTTTGGATCCAATTCTCAGGAAAGTATGAACTGCAACTGCATCCCAGTTTTATATATGAAAAGGTTAGGATTTTGTAACTTGTAGAGTTGACAAGTTTAAAGGGCTGGTCCTAGGATTGTCCATGCTTTACCTTGAAAGGACCAATGAAAAGAAAAATGATATCATATTTTATGATTTTCTTGAAAAAAAGTGAGATTATTGTTGCACTGGTGGAACAATGAAATTGGCCATGTCTTTTTCCGATTTTTTTCCCTCTACCTTCAATCGGCTCTTAATTTGTAGTTGAGTTGACTTAGTCTAACGTCTTTGCAGTTAGAAATTTGAATGGACTCAGATTTTTTTTCTGGTAGAGTAATAAATTTGATTCTTTATAATCCATTAATTAAAGTTTTAATTTAATATTAAATTTTAAGTAAAATAATTACAAATAAATTATCTCGCATAATAATTTTTCATTTCATTGAAGTCTTTACATACTATTATAAAAATACAATTTAATTCGTTCATGATAAAATATAATTTATTCTTATGTAAAAATTAAATTATATATTTAACGATAATGTGTAGAGATTTTTTTGAAAATAAAAGATAAAATTTATTTTCAAGAAAAAATTTAAAAATATAAAAGATAAAAGATAAATATATATTTTAAAATAATAAAATAATTATTTAATGTTTTTATTATGAAATTTAAATTATAAGAAATTTGAGAATATGATGATATTAGATATATAAATTCACTTAATTTATGTTAAGAAATTTCGGTGGATCCCAACATTATAATTATATAAATTATTTTCATTTTAATTATTATTATAATAATTTTATTTTTATTATTAAAATAATTATTAATATAATAATAATTAATATTATTATTTATACATTTATTATTATTATTATAATTATTATTATTACTAAATATGATAATCGATTCTCACGATTAACAATAATATTGAGATTCGATTTTGTGAGTACCGAAAATCGATTATTTATAACAATTTTGAGAATTAATTCTGCATTAGATGAAAATCGATTGTAGTCGTAAAGAGAATATAAACTACTTGAATAACATGGATGAAAATCGGTTCTTATTCATTGATAATCGATTTTCATTATGAGAATTGATTTACATAATTTTTCATGTATTTAAAATGAGTCATAATTAATTTCTGCGAGATTTTCTATAATGATTTCCTACTTTATTTAGGATGAGTCATAATTAATTTCTGCGGGATTTTCTGTCCTACGTATAAAAGTTTATCCTCTGTCATCCCTATTTTTGGATGCCATGCACATTTTTCATATGAATACGGTGAGGAAAAAAACGTAAATGTATGTTAGATGAATTTTGTTTTTTAATTAATCTCTTCATTCAAGTGAAGGTACTTTCATGACTCTCTCTTAAATCAATGCTAACAAATTTCCTTAAAAATTTCCTTAAACAGTTTGAAACAAAAATGTGTCATCCTATCAACGTAGTGGAAAAATATAGATAATGTTTAGAGATAATATATAAAACCCAATACATTCAATCAACAACTTAAAAAAATAATATAATAGTAAATAATAATATTATATTAACATTCAATCAACAACTTAAAAAATAATATAATAATAAATAATAATATTATATTAAGATATATTAGTTATAGAATGGATGTTTTGAAAATTGGAAATAAAATTTATCTATAATGTTTTAAACTGTATGCGAACCAAAGACAGTTCTTACAAGTATACAAGAGTAATTGAACATTTATTTTTCTTTTGAAACGGTAATTAGGGTGAAATAGAAAATTTATTGGTAAAAGTGTTTAATTATTACATAAACTAGCCTTTTCCTATTATTATCATTTCCTGTACAATTTTTTTAAAACAAAAGACTGAACCAAAAATCGTTATAATTACCAAAACAAAAAAAATAAGAAATTGGGAACATTTTCTGATACAACTTGACGTTCAACATTTAAGAATTAAATATATTTAATCGTTGTAAATGTGACAAAAGTGGCATTATAATTCACAAAAGAATTGTTTTCTTGTTTTTTAAAATAATAAACGCACATTACACACGGTTATAAACGAGTTAGAGAGGAAACACAATTACTAAATTTAGAAAATATGCAGTGCACGTATTTATACGAACTAAACATTTAACCAATATTCAATGACCAACGCAATCTAGTATCGAGCTTTCGTAGGTGCGCCATAAAGTTGTCAAGAATAACTTCTGAATTATCCCGGTCGGACTTGCCCCACGAAATATGTAGAGATTTATGTAAACAAACATCATACCAAGCTCCATCACTTACCGTTTTAAGACAATTGTATGTTCAGTACAAATAATCACAAGTCCATGATAACGAAGGCAAGATCAGAAGCAAGCCCGAACAGCATCGGAAGAAAAAGTAGTAAGCTTGGTTATTCCTCAAGTACACTAGATTGCTTTGGGAAATTATTCAACTAAGCCGAGAGCCTTTGAAAACACGAGCAACAGATGATGAACCATCCTGTTAAATCATCAATTTGGTAACTAGCCACTGCAACAGCAATGCTATTATAGTTTTTAAAGGTTTATTACATGACATCATGAAGGGATTTTGATATCCCCGCAATTGCAATGCAACTGATCCTGTCAACTTGAACGCGTTCCATCCTCACAGGGAACGGCGTCTTGCAGCTCTGTCTTCCACATGCATCATTTGGATGCTTCTATTCCAGTCTTTGGCGGTCAAAGTTCAGATCATTCTTCTAAATCATTAAAAGTTCATGGTTAAATGCATGCATAGATGGTAAAAATAAGCAGCAAGAATCATTCATGTGTTTTACTGTTGTATAAATTATTTGGTTGCTTGTGAAATGCCAAAAATTACATTGTAGGCATGCTCGGGTACTACTCTTCGCAAGGTATCAAGAATATGTCCAAGCTAGACAAAGATTAACTGCTTGTAAATTTAACATTGTAAAGACATAATTAACTTCCGGTAGAAAGTGTTTTTTGGAATTAAAATTTAGGTTTAAAAAGTTATCGGTACCTCCAAAAAAAAATCATTGTTTTCAATATCCAACATTTAATAAACTTTTTAATTTATGACAACTATCGTATTATTTTTAATTAACAGTTTTGGTATGTTAATTTTGACAGTATCACATGTTAGCATACTTACAAATATCTTACTGAGATACTTACATGTCAATACTGTCAACACAAGAATAATAAAATTATTATCAACAGCAAAATAGCTTATTTGCTAAATATTGGTATGACAATACTGAAACTTTTTTTGGAAATACTAATTTATATACGGTCCAATTTTGGAAGTAACAAAAACTTATTTAATCCTAAAACTTAAAGCTGAAGATGGGGTTACCACAGGGATGACCTTGGCACAGAATTGAATTCTTCGCACTCAAGCTCAGACACCTCTCTGCTGCCACCTCCGCTGGTTGCAACCACTTTGCTTTCAGCATTTGTGACTCCTTTGCTAACATGTTCTTTAACTGTGCCAGTTTCATGGTCTTCTCCTGCATCAGAACTGTTGGACACGCAGTGTTTATGCAACCATCTATCTGTTTCCCAAAGTACATGCATGATGCTTTCTCTGGCAGTGTAACCATGACTCTCATGGGGCAGAATCACCAGTCGACAAAGAGCACCGTGACCCTTCAGAGCATTGAAAAACCTGTCTGACTGCATAGCAGGACAAACTGTAAGCAACTACCAATTGGATAAAGAAAGATCCTGGGGTTCTTCCTCCAAAATATGAAAACACAACAATAAGCAATTAATTAATGACCGCATATGATAGCTAAGGCAGGAATTCCTCTCTTACCTGCATGGTTAATGTTCCTGGATTATTGTCCTCTTCCCCGTGAATAAGCAATATGGGTTTCTTAATTTTATTAGCCGATATAAAAGGACTCATCTCTACATATGTATTAGTCGCCTCCCAAAGAGTTCTGTCTTCATTCTACAGAAGGGAGTGGAGAAAGACATAAGTCCTTCATTCTAAAGTACACTAACAAGTCACAATGTAACATGGATATCAAAGAAGAGGGTGTGAAAGCAGAAAAGAGGGAACTGTACTACAAAAGAAAGACAATTTTATGGGTACTGGAAGTAGGAAAAAAAATAAGCATTATAAGAAATACCTGAAAACCAAAAGGTGTAAGTGTTCTGTTGTAAGCACCAGAACGAGCAATTCCACAACAGAATAGATGAGGTGCGTGTGCCAGGAGGTTAGCAGTCATGAACGCACCATAGGAATGTCCACCAACAGCTATTCTCTTTGGATCAGCTACCTAGATGTGACAAGTGAACCCCCCAAAATGGCTTCAGTCATAATATTTCTATCAGGCTTATAGTTTCATATTCTTCATACAATAGAAAATAAAGCTTACCCCACGACGGATAACTTCCTCCACAGCAGCCTCAGCACTTGCAACCAATTGTTCTACATACCTGGAATTGTAGATATTTGGTTTTATGTCAGGTAAACATTAAAGCTTTATGAGTTTTATGATGTATGATTACTTAACAGCAAAATTTGAACACACTGAAGAAAAGTACCAAAGAAGCCTAAGTCTCCAAGGTCCAAAAATTTGAAACTCCATTTTGAAGAGAAAATGAGAATGAAATTCATGGTGCAGAACAGTTATTAGTGATAAATATATGGTAAAGATCCACAGCTATAACAATATCATTATCACGTTACCTATCATTTGCCTCTTCATCACCCTCACCAATAATAGGAATGGTAGGCCCAGATAGAATTGCAAACCTGCAGTATTTAAAGTATTCAAAGAGCCGTCCAACTTATTATTCACAACATACACATTGAAATGGGAACGTAGAAATCAAGTAAAATTATGCTAAATCAGAAATACCCAAATGAAACCCACTGTTGGCAAATCAGAAATACCTTCTAGCCAGCCAAAGAAGGGCTGATGTGGAACCTATCCCAGCAAATTCATTTGGAGAACCACGAACTTGTCCAGCAGCATCTTTACTCTTAAATTCTCCCGGGTAAGACCAAACCAAGCATGGCAAAGGGCCATCTGTTGATGGATTGTAGCCTGGTGGCAGGTATAATGTAGCAGTGAGTTGAACCCCATCTTTTCTTTGATACCTGATCATCTCCTTCTGCAATGAGGCAAGCTGAGGGTATGGATGAGGGAAATTTGTAACCTGAACTGTTTGCTTATCCGGCCAGCTAACAAAGTAATATTGAGTGTTTTCAGTTTTTGACTCTTTAGAAGTCAGTATCTTCAGCTTATCCAAATGCAAATCCCCTTCTTCCTGATCAGACATTAGAGCAACAACAGTCTCATAATACTTTTCTTTACTACTCTCCCAGATTCGTTCCTTTTTACGTGTATTTCTGTAGCATTTTGGTTCAAACCATCATATGTCAGAATCTGAGAACATATTAGAAGCAAAATTAACAATTTAAGACACTTACATGTCAAACAGATCAAGGAATGGAATATTCCCTTCTGGTGTAGCACCAATTCCATTCAGTATAATATATCTTCCTTCATCATTGGCCTTCTTTATCCTTGCAATGATGTATGTCCCAGCTTCAGTTCTCCGCATCATAGGAGAGCCAGGGTCAGAGTACACATCCTCTGAGGATCTATCAAATAGGATGTCTGGAGCTACATCTTCAGATCCAGGAGAGACTACCCATGTTCTTATTTTCCGAGTTTTGTACCAAGATTCATACACCAGAGCCAGAGAATCATCACACCAAGAAATCCCTCTGTAGATATGGGGAAACATAAATAATACAAGACTATTCTACGATTATCAGTGCAGAATATGAAAGTCACAAGCAAACCAACCCAAAACGTTGGTTATGATGATCAAGGGTGCAAATAGATATGAATAGCAAGTACAGCATTTGGATAGACAATTTGAAAATGGGCAAGACTTGGCATCCAAACTACTGTTAACTATAAACCTCAACAGTCCCAAGCATATTTGCAATACTCAGAAGCAACTTAAGATTTTTGTAAAAGGACTCAACGATGTCCATATATGTCATTGTGAATACACCAACAAGTAGATAAATCAGAAAGAGAAGAAGGCAATGTGAATCAATAAATTGTATCCATACCCATAGCGGAAATCAAGCTTGTGGAATATTGTGGGCTGTTCATCTTCTAGTGGTTCAGCAAGCTGTGTATAAACTATATCACGAGGAGAAATTTCAACCTTTGCATCACCTCCATCTTGCGTTTCTACCCTATAAACCTCAAATGAAGCAATTTAAACAGTTTAAAAACCCCAAAACAAATCCATTTAACAAATGGGTCTACAAAACCAACAATGTAAATGAAGGGGAAAAACTCACAATTTTGTATTGAATAAAAGAAGTTTCATGTTTGATTGTGAATGAATGATGAAACATCTATTTAAGAGAAATGCATATGATGAGAACACTAGAAGTCGGTTGAAGAAAACAACCATATGCAATCCAACATTGACATACAACGAGTTCCTAGTAAAAGCAAGGAACATAAACCTATATCTGAAATACCAGAACATAATATTCAATGAGCACACACCCTCAAATACAATGATGCAAAAACCAACGTCAATGTTATTTTGGCTGGGAAGGCTATGAATACTCTTTATCCTCTACCCAATATCAGCCAAATGGTACTTTTGACCCACAAAGAAAGGGTAACTCTTGGCCTAAGAGGAAAGATGTTAGGCTTTGACTCTGATACCATGTTAAGGTTCCAACATAAAACCAATTGGCAATATGTGAAGTAGCCTAACATATATTTAAACCATACCAAATGACATGAGGCAGATGATGTGGGATTTTCAACAATGTTTGAAGTACTTCTAAATTTTGAGAAAAAATATTGAAAACAAATGTAAACTGCATATTTAAAATGTCTATCTTTTTTAAAGAAAGTGCCTCTTTAGGTTTATTTAAAGTATAGTTATATTAACTAAAAAAAAGTATAGCAATTTCTAATGTCCCCAATGTACTGCCACAACAGTAAATATAAATTCAAATTCAGTTTAGTACCAGTAAAGTGTTGACGGCTTATCAGCTCTCCAATTAATGGAGCGCATCCCTTTTCGCACACTATTGAATGCAATTGGAATGTCCTCAGCAAGGGGCAAGTCACAAAGCTCTCTGATGAATTTTCCATCAGCACTCCATAACTCTACCTTCTTTGGAAATCTTCCACAAGGTACAATGAAAGAGTATGGCCTGTGAATTGAACTAATCAAAATGTACTTGTGATCTGGGGAAGGGTCCATAGAGGTATAAACAGCTGGTGTGCCAATTTCTTTTGCAGTACCATCCAAAGAAGCTAAAACAAGCTGTGAGGTGGCATAATAGTCAAACAAATCTTCATCATATTGATCCTTCAGCAAATCCTGGAATGTTCTTACTTGAATAATATTTTTCTCCTCGTTAGATTGAATTTTGGGGCCAATAGGAACCAAAGGTTTCTTTGGCGGAGCAGGACGTGATGATGGAATGGTACAAACAAGTAAAGAAGAGTTGTTTACCCAAACATAATTGTCAAAAACTGCATTCAAATATACATTTGGTACTTGCAACAACGGTCTGGCTTTCCCTGTTTTCACATCTGCAATCCACACTGTGAGTTTACTGCTATCATTATCCTCCTCGGTCACACGAATGCTAAAGGACAAATGGCAAGCATCAGGAGACCATGAAACAAAATTTATTTTAGCACCATCAGGGAAACCATGCACCTCAATCTCTGGCCCTAATGTGCCATCAGGAAGAATTTGATGGATCCCTATACCTGTGTAGAATGACATGCGACTCCTAGTATTGCACTTTCCATCAATACGTATACCAGCCAACTTTTCCTCCGGCCTTGCTATTTCTGCCAGTGGAGGTAAAGCTCTTCGCTTGAGAAAGATAATCTTGTCCCTGAGTGGGGAAAATGACAACGCAGGTACAGGTGGAGCATCAACTATTTTACTAATCTCAGGTGGAGGAACGCGATACTTTGTTCCAACAGTTGACTCATCTAGCATTGGTCAATCAAAATAAAGATCAGCATCTAGAAACAGTAAAGCAATCTAAACAATAATATAAATGTGAATATGAATTTTACAACTATGTCTATCTGAGGCTTGAATACGCGAGGACTAAGGGCTATATATAATGGAAAATGGAGTGAATCACTTCATTTATACCAAATTTCAAGATCCCAAACCTCAAACTTGGTTCATGTAAAACTCTATACTATCGTATGTCAGTTAAAAGGTAAGAAATCATTGAATTAGATACAAAATTTTCACTAGCGGCAAAAGATTTTAACTATTGCAAAATATTCATTAATACAGTAAATGGTGAATTAACAATCGGTTATTCAATTATGTTGACAGCGATAATTTCGTATTTTCACAGTATCACCAACATAATTGAGCGAACTAGTACAAAAATAAAACAGCGGAAATTTTACTCTAGGTAACGATCAGCCGCATGAACATGCATCGAAAACATTAATAAGTATAAGATCGTTAACACACGACGTTTCCGGAATCTGTAAGAGGAAAAAACAACAGCAGATAATTTTACTGGATAAAAGCAAAAATTAGTGCTGAGCTAACCTTCGTAATCACCGGAAGTACCGGTGTTGGCAGAGGAAGAAAAGGAGACAGCGGCGTCTTCAGTAGGCGCAGCCGCTAGAGGCACTATATTGCGCAACCGCGAGGAAGCCGAGGAAGCCATGGAAGCCAAGTTCGCAGCAGTTCTGTGACAGAGCGTGAGGCGCGGCGGAGGAGAGAGAGGAAGAAGAGAGGGATTGGAAGGGATTGATAATGAAGAAAAGGGGAGAAGAGTGAAGCGATGGTACAGTTTGTGAAGTCGCATCATTGATCAAATAAAAAATTCTATTCCTGCATGATATTTTTTTCTCCCTTCGTCTCCGTCTATCCGTAGTTGGTAAGTTTTTCACTAGCAATATAGCCCGCTAGCATTTAGATCTTCAACTGACTAAAAAACGGTATCCATCTCATCGTTGATTAGTTTTATTACATAATAAATTAATTTTTTAAAGTATAATTTTATCTATTTTTAGAAGATAGTCAAAAAGAGTTCTTAAAGAAAAACACTTGACCCTTTTCATAAATGTTGACACGAGATAACAAAATAACTAATAAATCATCATCTTATGGTGTGTAATAAGTTATTAATTGATAGACTCTCGTTAAATAATAAATTATTCCATGTTTTTATCATTGAACATACTTTTTTTTTTTAACAAATTCATGTATATTTTTTTAAGATTTGTTTTTTTACTCTTGAATACATAAATCCTAAATTTTAGGAGTATGATCAAATAAAGGAGATAAATTAAACAAATTAAAATTCACCACTTCAAATATTCTTAATTTTGTAAAAAGCTTCAAATACTCTTAATTTTGTAAAAAAGCTTCAAATACTCTTAATATTGTAAAAAAAAATTATATAAATTTTAGCATGTTTAGAAAAATATTTTTCATTGAGACTTACTAATGAATCAAACAAGAAAAAAAAATATAAATATAAATTGAAATATATATTTTTTAATATAAAATAGAGGAGGTATAAGATATAAAATTGTACATATATGTACTAATTGAGTTATTAGGAAATTGAAATATTTTCTATTCATTCTAAAAACTTAATCAAATAATTATATAATATGCATATTCTTTAAAGAAAAAAATATCAAACTTTATATAAATCTCATCTACTCAATATGATGATATATGAGAATAATTTTATTTGAAAATTTTTGTTAAGATATAAGTTATCTGATCTTCTTGAATAATCACATACAATTCTATAATTTTGTTTTCTAAATTTTTTCTTAATAAATAATTTATCAACTTCAACATGTTTTGTTTGATCTTATTGCAATAGATTATAAAATGTTAAAAACAATTTTATTTATCATAATATTATCCGTAAGAGAATTTTTAGTCATAAAACTCATTTTCTTAAGTGAGCGACCACGTTTGTCTTGATCAACTCATAAATAAGTATATATATATATATATATTTGTTTGATAATTTATATTTTTGGTAAACAATAATCATTTTTTAAATGTTGATTTTAAGTATCTTAAAATGCGTATAGTTGTATCTATATATTGTTCTTCAAGATTATGCATAAATTTAATGACAATATTTAATGCATTAACAATATTGAGTGTTATTTATGTTAAGTATTTCAATCTTCCTATAAGTTTTTGGTATCTTTATTTATCAATTGAGATTTTGTACGATGTTGTAAATAATTTCAAACATTCATTAGTTTCATTAGTGTATTCAGTTGGTTGACAAGTTAACATACTTGTTTCTCGTAACAAATTTATAATATATTTTCTTTGAGCTAAATAATTTCTTTCTTTAAGATACTTTAATCTCTATAAAATATTTTAAAGAACCGGATCCTTTATTTTAAACTATTCTAGTAAATATTCTTACAACATTTTATTTTTATTTTTTCATGTAACAATCATATCATTCACATGTATAATAAGTGTAGTTATCTTACTTTCTTGTTTATTCAAAAATAAATAATGGTTTGAATTAATTTGGTTATATATAAATGTTGTCATATATTTTTTTAAACCTTCCAAACCATGTCTGTAGAGATTATTTCATTCTATATAAAGATTTTTTTTAATTTGCATATTTTTTTGTATTTTTTCGAGTAGCATTAGCATGCAACTTGATGGAAGTTCCATGAATACATCTTGAATTAATTTCTCATGTAAAAATATATTTTCTATAAAAAATACTTTAATGATTAATCTATATTTGTTGTTAAAGACAATAATACTTGAATAATATTAATTAGTGTTATAAGAGGAACTATTTTTGTGTAATCAACCCTCATGTACCTAGGTATATCCTTTTGTCACTAGTATTACTTTATACCTTTTCTATTGTATCATATGTTTCATGTTTAATTATGTAAATTCATTAACATCCTACTAGTTTCTTTCTTAGTGAATCACCAACAAGAATTTAAGTATCGTTCTTTTAAAGTGAGTTTATCTTCTCATAGCTACCTTTCATGTTGGATCAACTAAAGATTTATGCAAATTGCTAGGAATGACAACAACAAAAAATTGATTGATAAATATTTTATTTGTTTCTGACAATACATGATTAGATAGATACTCATATGATATTTAACTTTATTATAAAGTTCTAGTTAATAAGTAAGCTTAATAATACTTTTAATGAGACAATTTGATAATTATTTTTCGGCCAACAAATGATTAGTGCATCTTCATTGAGAGATTTATGTGGTGCTTCAACATTAACTTCATTCAAAGGTTCATGTGTTACTTTAATGTTATCTCTAAGAGGTTTTTATGACACTTCAATGTTATATTTATTAAGATATTCATATGAAGTTTCAATGTCATGTCCAACAAAAGATTATTGTAATGATATTATAATATAAGTTTTTTTCATCTCAAGGGTAATGATATGAAATTGCTCCACGTATATCTATATTATACTTTAAAGTTTGAGTTTTATGTTCTAAAATCTAAATTTCTTAGATTTTTTATTGGTTCCCTCCTTAAAAATTAGACTCAGAGAAAAAAATACATTGTGTCCTTAAAAAAACAAAAAACATTCATTATTATATACATATGATAAGTAAAAGGATGATATCACTTATATCTTTTTTATGTAAAATATATTCGACAAAAACACATGACCCAAATGATCACCTTGTTACATTAATGCTCATGAAGATGAATAAATTTAACACATCCAAATACATGATCGATGTAAATTAGGAACCATTGGAGTACCAAATAAATTATGAAAGATTTTAATATGTGTTTTAAACTAAATAGAATTTGAGAAATGTCGATTTATTAAATATATTTTTCAAATAAGAGTTTTTTCTCTAATAGTAACACAATATCACATGGATCTCAATCAATAAAACATAAATAATTTATAACTAATATATTTTTTTCTTTTCACAATATCATTTCATTAAAGCGTATTAAGATAAGTAATTTAATTAATAATTTTATTAGTTTCTAAATATAGTTGGAATTCATCATTTTTATAATTTTTACTATTATTGTCCTGTAAAACTTGCATTTTAATGTTATATTGAATTCTTGCCATTTAAGAAAAAAATTAAATAAAAATAATTATCTTATTTTTTTATTTGATTAATTACAATCAAGTAATTCTTATATAATCATTAATAAATCAACAAAATTTACTAAGTTCAAATTTTTTAAATTGATCTCATACATCATCACAATATATCTCCATAAAAAAATTAAAGACTTTTATATAAAATTAATAAAAATAAATTTTTATAATTTTTTCATAATGCATAAACATAACAAATAAAACTAGAAACAAAATGTTTAGAAAATATTTTTTTTAAATTCCCAAAATAATAAATATTCAATGCATCGATATCATAAATTTCTCTTATAACGTCATCTGATTGTTTTGTTTTGATACATAAGTGTTAGTCAACAAAATTAAATAAGTTATTATTTAGAAAATAAATAAAAAATTAAAATTAAAATAAGATGTATTTATCCAATTTTTTAATTAAGTATATTTACAATATTTAAGGATTTTTTTTTATGTTGATGTATATGATGATAATAACGCATAATAAATATATTCAATTAATTACTTAGTTATACGCAATATTACATTCAAGAATAATAATTAGTATTAAACACATATAAATCATTATTTAAAATAACATTGGTAAGAAATGTACCTTACTCTATTTTTTACATCCTTTACATCCTGTTAATATTCATTCTATTGATATTACAATTCTTATATTGACTAAAATATTAAAATATTTTAATAAGTGGATCTTTTCGTTTTCTTAGCATAAAACAGAACTCGACTTAGTAAATCTTTGAGATTCATCATCAAAACGACATTTTCGAACTTATCTTTTATTGTATAAGCAAGAACATAAGAAAAATAAATAATATTTAAAATATTAATGAGATTTAAAAATCATTTTTCAATAATTTTGGCTTTTTTTTAATTTATAGTGAAAATATATTTTTGCTTAGATGATTTAATTTAGGTGGCATAAGATAAATCCTCGTATGAATTATAACTCTAATATCAATAATTTATATATTATCATATGTATTAAAAATCTTAGGTAATTTATAATTACTTATAAAATAGATATATTTTTCATTTATTTAGCACTGAAAATCTTTTTGTCAACTTTAATATTTGTATCTTCCTAAGATTGTAATATATTTTTGGTAGAATATTAAAAATTTATTAACTTTGAACAATAGACAAAACTAATTTTACCGTTCTGAAGCATATGTTTATTTTATAAAAATATATATAATTTCTTTCTAATATATATTTTATATAATAATATTTTATAAAAAAATAAAAAAAAATCATTCTAAATTTTATACATAAATAAATTCATATAAATTTATCATCTACTTTTTTTTTCTTTAGTATCATGTCATTTTATTTTTCGCTATCTCAATAACAATAAAAATACCTATCAAGTTTCCTGCAAACTTTTTACATTCAAACAAGGATTTTATCAGGATTCATCAGTGCAATAGTTAATCAATGTCACATATCAATTTTCCCAAAAATAAGATAAAAAAACTATTCAATTAAAATTCATTTGTTATCAAATTTAACACCAATATTAAATAACTTTAAAAATCACTTAAGAGATGAACAATATAAAAACCTTCTTCATTTTGTAAATTTGTTATCTACTTTAAAATAATGAATAGTAGTTATAGATTTTGAAACATACATATTTTCAAGTTTTTCAAATAATAATCCAACACATGAATAGTTCATATTATGAAACAAAACATTGTCATCTACCATAAATTCATGAATCTCACTCTCAAAACTTATTTTTATTGGATATATTATCTTGATTTTACAAAAAATAAAGAATGTAATCTATTTACAAAATATAAAATAACCTCTCCATTTTGTTCTCTCTCTCTCTCTATATATAATCCTTATAATATTATTATAATAATATTATAATGCTTATATATAAACTTGATTATATAAATTAATTATTTTTCTAAATATTATTTAAAAATATAAAATATATAATTTATAAAAAAATATTTAATAAATTAATTCTTATTTAATAAATTAATTCTTATTTAATTAGTTGAAAATAATTAAAATTTAATTTTTTAAATTCTTTAAAATATAATTATTTTATTAAAATAAAATTATGTTATTTTTATTTTGGTGATTGTAAATTAATTTGTAAAAAATATTTTAAATGACTAATTTGAAATAGGGTATAAATTAAGTTTAATTTTTAGGGGAAAAAAATTATGAAAAGAATTTTCAAAACATTTAAAATTCGAAAACTTTATTTTTAGACTATTTCAAGATAATATCTTGCTTTATTTTATTGAAAAGATAATTTGGATAAAAAAATATATATATTGGGGATTTTACGTGCGAGAATATAATTGGTTGGAAGCAGATAAGAAACATGTGTACACAAACCCTCCTCAATCAGAGCTATAATCTTTCCATTCTAATCCACTCTCTACTTCGGATCATAGACAGCAACATAACCCCAAAGAAGACGAAACAAACAATGGCAACCATGACTGGAGTGAGTCTTTCATGCCCCAGGGTTTTGTTCAACGCATCGGGCTCACGGCAAAGCGCGCATGCCATAAGATTCGCACTTCCACTCAGCCAACCGATGCGAGCAGGTGCTATCCAGATGGGTCAGGTGATGAGGATCCGACCCGTTCGTGCCGCTCCGGATAAGATATCGGAGAAGGTGGAGGAGAGCATAAAGAACGCACAAGAAGCGTGTGCCGGCGATCCGACGAGCGGCGAGTGCGTGGCGGCGTGGGACGAGGTGGAGGAGCTGAGCGCGGCGGCGAGCCATGCGAGGGACAAGCAAAAGGAAAAGGATTCGGATCCGCTGGAGAACTACTGCAAGGACAACCCGGAGACAATAGAGTGCAAAACTTTCGATGACTGAGTCTGCAACATGCGTGAGAGTGCACGATAGTATCCACCTGTTTCAAGTAAAACTATTGAGTTACATGATATAACAATTCTGAACAGCTATGTATTAATGTTTGATTTTGCATAATCCATAGCATTTCATCGTCACTCATCATAGTTTCATGGTAACTTACGTTAAATCAAAGCCAAATCATATGCACTGGTTATGTTTTTTGTATTGTTGTGATGCCTGAAGAAAACGGTATTACTGGTAGTAGCTTCATGAGGTTGGATCAAATCATCGAATTCACGAACTGATATCGATTGCGTGAGAGTGAAGATCTATCAACTGCACCCTGATTAATTGATTACTATACTTTTTGCGTATTCTGTTTTTTATTGTTCTATCCTAACGAAAAAGTAGTGCTTATCTGCCGATGATATATGTTATCTCCCATAAACATCGTAGCTGTTATTTGATCTTCATGGTAAGAGTTTTAATTGAGAAATCAATAGATTATGAGCTTGAATTTGATAATGTTAGTAGGAAATCGACAAAAGCGATCGAAAAATGAAGAAAAGAAAAATCGAGAAACATGTAATTGATCGATAAAGCGAAGTGGATGAGAAACCATTCGATGTCCAATTAGAAGGACGTGGCACACAAAATCAAAAGTTAGAGTAAGAATCAAAGGAGTTTATTGTGGAATAAACCAAGAAATTAGAAGTATATAATACTAAAGTTAAGAGGAATCAAAAATAATTCAAAATTCTCGATAAATTCGAAATTGAGGGGAAGGCTAACCTACATGGATATCAAAACCCTGGCCAAATTGTGAAGGGAAGAACAGTCAAGCGCATATACGGGAAACAGTTTCTAAATCATGGCAGAAGTTGAAAATCGTGAGAACGTGGGTACAGTATTGAAACCATAGAAGATAAACTGCAACACACACGTAAAACGTGGTAGCAGTTTTGTTAACTGCTCCTGGAAGGTTTGAATGATGCCCTATAAATAGAGCAAAGGAGGAAGGAATGGACAACAGAAAATTGGCAGAGAACAAAATTAGTAGTGAGAAGTCTACCGGAACATGACGAACACCATGAAACTTCTGGCAATCTGGATTTCCATGCTCATCGAGTACCTTTACCGCTTTCTTTACTTTCCTTGGTAATTTATTTTGATGCACCTTATATTCAGCAATTTTATGTTTTTGTTCTTTCGATTCCTTGTCATTTCAATTCAATGAAAGTTAAGTTTCCGCGTTTAAGTTTCCTTGTCCTTTAACATTGACAATTTCGATTTCTGGTATATTTTCTGCAATCTTGATTCCTTGCTATTTACATTTCCGTTCTTTCGATTCCTTGTCATTTACATTTAACGTACTTTTAAGGTTTCTGCATTTTACGGGTTTCAGCAATTTAGTATCCTGTATTGTTTTTCGATTCGACGTTTTATTACTTTCTGCATCTTAAATACAAAACACCAAAAAAGTAGCATTTTCGATACTTGGTAAGGTTCGATCCTCATATGCATTTCGATTGAAAATTAATTTGCTAGCCTAAGTAAAAAGAACTTACGTGGTAGAATTTTGGTTAGTATCAAAACATCTCGGGGGTCGAAATCAATCGAAATTCCACCAGAAACAAATTGGCGCGCCAGGTAGGGGAAGCCTTGTATTGAAAATACACAAAATTGATTAGTTCGAAAGTGTATGAGATTAAGGAGTGGGAGAGTTATAAGTATGAGTCAAAATTCATCAAATAACCAGAGTAACAGTGAGGGTCTGAATGGTGTACATTCACCAAATACTGGGGGGCAAAGTCATAATGGGAATATGCCTGTAACATCGACAACTACGAGTATGTCGATACTTGTGGGTAACGAACTAAATTCAGGTACCTTAACAAACACCCAAGTAGGATCTAATGCGGTGGTACCGAATAATATGCAAACTATAGGAAACCCCACAACAACATATGTAGGGCCATATATGAGTGTAAGACCGCCTGAGTTTTCGCTTAATAATACGAGCGAGGCTGGAACTTCTTCAACACAACGGAATTCGAGATATAACTTAGGAATGCCTCAAACGCTGGGTATGCCCCAGAATTTTGGAGTCCATCCGAATTTAGGGACATCTCAAAACTTAGTAATCCCCCAGAATTCAGGAAGTGGACAGAATTTAGGCATACAACAAATACCTCCAAACCTAGATCATAGAGGAAATCTGGATCATGGAAGATATATATTCGATAGAGATTATCATCGATCCAATTTTGAGACTATCAAAAACACTGGTACTGGGATATCCAGTAACTCATTAGGGATACTTAGACAACAAATGGATGAGAGCAATTTTGAGATGGTAAATATGTTGTCACAACAGTTGACTACAGTCCTAAACCCATTAGTTCAAAACACTACTGCTAGTTTTGAGATATTAGCGGACCAAATGTCACGAATCGGGGATGCATTGGTTGTACCTCGACAAACAAGGGTAGAAAATCATGCTAACCAGAATGCTAATATCAATCCCCCGTATCTATTAAGGAGAAATAGAAACAATGATCAACACCAACATGTGAGGAATGATATTTATGGGAATTTGAATGAGGGATTTCAAAATATGCACAATCAGAATAACATGTTAGGACATAGAGTGAATTTACAAGGGATGGAATTTAGACAACCCAATCAAACATACTTTGTGTCACCTTTTCCAAATGCGATTCTCGAGACAGAATTACCTCGAGGATACAAAGTGCCTAAATTCACCAAATTCGCTGGAGAGGTTGGTGAATCAACTATCGAGCATGTAGCTCGATATCAGATCGAATGTGGGGACCTAGCGATAAGTGAGGAATTAAAGATGAAATATTTCCCTAGTTCTTTGACTAAGAATGCGTTTACTTGGTTTACCTCGTTGCCACCTAATTCGATTTATAATTGGCTGCAACTGGAGAGAAATTTTCATGAGCAATTCTTTAGAGGGGAAACTCAAGTAAGTCTTGTTGATTTGATGAATATAAAAAGATACAATCATGAAAGCATAGATGATTATTTGAATCGATTTAGACAAATGAAGTCGAGATGTTTCACTCAAATTCCCGAATATGAGTTAGTCAGAATGACCTCTGCAGGCTTAGAATTCTCGATTAGGAAAAAACTAGTCAATTTACCATTGAATGACATGACTCAATTAGCCGATAAAGTAAGAAGAGTGGAACAAATTGAATACGAAAAACAAAGGTATAAGAAATATGAGAAACCCTTGAAAAGAGAAAGAGTAGCATATATAAATGATTTGTATGAGACAGATACCATGACAGAAAATGATATTGAAGAAACTGTCGATGAGAAAGTAAACATAACAAAACTCAAAGTAGGGGCTCCATATATCTGTAAACTGCTACAAAAGAATGAAGTGAAAGATAAGATGACAAATCGAACATATACTTTCGATGTGACAAAAACTGATAAAATCTTCGATATTTTATTAAAAGACAAACAAATTAAGCTGAGTGAAGATCATAAACTGCCTTCAGCAGAACAAAGGAATGGTCGAAAATATTGTAAATTTCATAATGTTTTTGGACATTGGACTAACAATTGTATACATTTCAGGAATACGATCCAAGATGCGATTGACCAAGGAAGACTGAAATTTGAAGAGATGTCAATGAAAGTGGACACGAGTCCATTCGAAGTACAAGTGGGGTATATTGAATCTCAAATGGGCATGACTGAGGATGTCCGAGTAACGAATTCTGCTTTTATAGGCATGGTCGATGTTACTGAAGACATTGATCCTAAACATGTCAGAATGGATGTGTCTGAAGAAGATATGGAATTCGATCTGAGTGAATTCGAAAAGGAATTCGAGAGGGAAATTTATCCTCGGTCAGGAGATTCTCTCCTCGAGTTTTTGAACAGAAAGAAAGAAAAAGATGAAGATGTGTCGTTATGTCCATGATGCAGTGCAGTCTTCGACAAGTCAGCCGCTAAGGCTTTCAGAGTAGAACAGATAAAGAAAATCGAGAGTCAGAACGAAAGGAAGAATGACAAAGGGGATCAAGCAAGCCAACCGACGATCGAAGAAAGCCAACAGAAATCCGATGGTTCTGGTATCAGTGAGAATCAAAGACAGTGGGTAAAAAGAGCGATGTACCCTTCTCGAAGAGGAGGAAGTAGACTTCAGAGTAATGATGTCTTCGAGAGGCTTTCATATGAAGAGGGATCGAATGCTGGATTCCCGACATTCCAAAGGTGATTCCGTGGAAGGCCCTGGAGAAGAGGAGGAAGGATCCCTTATTGGAATAATTACAGAAACTTTGAAGAGAATAATGTACCAATGGGGGGTCAATATGCAAGAGATTATTTCGACGATAAGAATGAGGGTAGCTGGGATGAGCATCAAATCGGAGTGATATCGATACTACCGGCGGAATATGTTAGTGAATATCAAGAGTACCAAGAACAGAGTTATGCCGATCGAGAAGATGACTTCTATTCAGAAAACATAAGGCCAAAGGTAACATGGGTTACACAAACATCATGTGAAGTACCTCATAGAGATGCTGCTTTTATCGATCCTCCATCCGAGGAAATGAGGTTCCACCTGAAACCCCTATTACTGAATATCGAGATTCAAGGACAAATGGTGAATAGAGTCCTTGTCGATGGTGGTGCGACAGTAAACATATTGCCAATCACTATGTTAAAAAGGTTTGGCATTGAACTGAAAGATTTAGTCAGGCACAATATCATGATTTCCGATTTCAGTGGAAAAACATCGAGCTCAGAAGGCATGATTGCCTTAGACGTAAAAGTGGGAACTTATTCGAGGCCTACTATGTTTGTTGTTGTCCAGTCACATGCAAATTTCAATGCACTACTTGGAAGAGAGTGGATTCATGGAGTAGGGGTCGTTCCATCTACGGCTCATCAGAAATTATTCATGTGGAATCAAGATGGACATCTCGAAGTAATCCCAGGGGATCAGCACGAATTTGTAACATTCGTCTCTCAGA